CGTTATTCAAAATTCGATGACTCTATGTACATTTGTTTTATCACAATACGAGAAATATACATACATTTATGCAGATTTTTCATTATTTAATTTCTTCAAATATAATGCAGGACTCTAACATTTTGTGGCAACAGTTTGAAAAGTGAACCGACATTTATGAGTCCGACGCAAAATGCCAAAACGAAACTAATAGTCCTTCGGGATTCAAATCCCTTTGGACTAGGAAAAAAAAAAAAAAAAAAAAAAAAAAAAAAAAAAAGTCTTTCAGCGAATTCATGGTTTATCACATCCCGGAATAAAATCGACTCTGAAATTAATGACACCAAAATTCATTTGGCCTAACATAAAAAAGATGTACAGCTGTGGACAAGAATCTGCATTCCTTGCCAAAAAGCTAAAATCAGTCGGCATACCAAAAAATTAAGTGAGTTTGAAGTACCACCAGGAAGATTTTCTGCCATCCATATTGATCTCATGGGACCACTTTCACCATCTAAAGAGAATATTTATTGTCTTACTTGCGTAGATAGATTTTCGAATTGGATGGAAGCAATTCCTTTAGAAAATATTTCAGCTGAGAATGTCGCAGGAGCCCTTTATAGCAACTGGATTGCACGTTTCGGAACCCCAAGTAAACTCATTAGTGATCGTGAATCCCAATTTAAAAGTGATACACTACGAGCTTTGTCCAAAATCTGTGGCATCAATTTACAACACACTACTGCCTACCACCCCTCTTGTAATGGCAAAGTTGAGCGCCTTCATCGAACATTAAAAACAGCATTAAAAGCCCACAACAACATATCTTGGATGAACACATTACCAACAGTACTTTTGGGTTTGCGTACTGCTATTCAAGAAGATACAAATCATTCTATTGCGCAAGTAGTTTATGGCCAGAGTCTCAGACTTCCTGGAGAGTATTTCAGCGAACCAAGTATCCAGATAGCATCGAAGACTTTTGCTAATAAATTCCAGAAACAGATGGAAGTTGCTGGACGTAGACTAATTCGTAAAAATTCATCTGAACGTATATTTGTACATAAAGACTTAAAAAATTGCTCTCATGTATTTCAGCGAATAGATCGGGTAAGAAAAACCTCTGGAACCTCCTTATGAAGGGCCATTTCGCAAGGACAAATATTTTACTATTAGCATAAAAGGAAAACATGTTAATGTATCCCTGGATTGTTTGAAACCAGCATATATTTTAGCTGAGGAAAATTCCCAGTTGACACAACCTGACAACAGTAACTTGCAGCGACAGGATTCAAATTCAGATGTGAATCAAAAACATTCTCGCTCAGGCAGAACTATACGTTTACCTGTTAGATTCCAGGACTGACTCTAAATTCTTCTGATAGTGGTTAACACTGCAATACTAGTTACTACCTATTTCTCCATCTTCGTAACGTAACTTAGTTACTGGTGGGGGAGTAGTGTAGTGCCCCAGTTATTGCATGAGAAATGATTATTTTTATTTCATATATTTGTTCATGTGTTTAATTATTTTATAAAATTAACTTTAATATTTTGTTAATATTCATATTTATATTTCTTTTATGCTGAATGGCAACAAGTACTTCATATTTATATTTAAATTTCTTTATGCTGAATGGCAACTAGTTCTGATTCATGATTGCTTAGTTTTGGTTTCAAAACGTTGCTATTCTAGTAGCGTCGCATTTAGATAGCTGGAAAATAAAAAGCAATAAATTTAGCTATGTGTTTATAATTTATGCTGTTCCTAATCATAAATTAATTTTAAACATTAGTAGCCAAGGCCACAGAACAACATCTGCTTTCATATCGTTCTTTGTTAAAGAAGCAAAACATCGAGTTATTCATTTTCATTGTCTCATTCACCAAGAAGCTATTTGTGCCAGGGACAGCTGCAAAATATTAGATGATGTTCTCAAAGATGTCACCAAAATGGTAAATTACATTGTGGCTCGACCTCTTAATTGTCGACAGTTTCAAACACTTCTTGATCTTGATAAGGTTCAAGCACAATATAGCACTTTGCTTAGGTACAATAATGTTCGATGGTTGAGCAGAGGGCGGCTTTTAGAGAGATTTATAAGCTGCTTGGATGAAATTGACTATTTTTGAATGAGGACAGCAGGATTATCCACAGCTCAGTGATATGGTCTGACTTAATAACGTTATGGTTTTTACAGATTTTACACAGAACTTCAGTGTACTGAACAAGCAACTGCAAGGCTTGGGAAATACGACAGAAAGGATGTTTTGCGATATAAAAACATTTGGGAGAAAACTGCATGTATTTGAAAGAGATTTTGCGATTTGGTAGCTGAAATATTTTCTAAATATAAAGATGCATCTAGAAAATTCCACACAGTTTGCACACAATTCTTCAAGTCATGAAGAAATCTACAAGGAATTTTGGAGCATCGTATCAGCTGCAAAGGAGAATTTTAAAGACAGATTTCTACAGTTCCGAGAGATGGAAACAACCATGTGTTCTCTTACTTCTCCAGATAAATCTAAATTTGAAGAACTTGATCTTTCATATAATGGTTAGATCTTGAAAATCTGGAAATGGAACTTTTGTGGTTTCACTAAATATATATTAGAATGCTTGATAAAACCTTATAAAATAATATGCAGCTTATCCATATTCAAGTGTTACACAAGTTACTAAGCGCGCATGAAAAACATTACAGCATTTCTAAATCGAAACTTACAACAGCGTTTTACCGCGTAACTCAGATCATCAAGTCAAGAGAGTCAGTGAACTTCGACGCCTGTCTGCTTTCTCCTCTCCTCGAGACGCGTCACCACCTGTTGTTTGTCTTCATCCGAGGCGCGCTTTTCAAGAAATATTGTCCAGTAACATCGCTACACAGCTAATGGAATTTCAAGAAAGCGCTACGTGGAAAAAAAAAATATCTGATCTGCGCGCAACACTTGAGAAGATGTAGTGTTAAGAGATCACACAGAACCGCACAATTGATAGTTATGAAGACGAAATCCTTTACAGCGTGGAATTTTCTTCCAAATAAGTTTAAATCGATGAAAACACTTAAGGATGTTTTTCTTACTTTGTTTGGATCATCTTATGCGTGCGAACAGCAGTTTTCAGCTTTGAATTATATCAAATGCTACACAACAGACTGACAGATAACCTGGGTGCTGCATGTGTTGCTCTCGAATTAACGAAGTATGAGCCAAGTTTTGACGAATTATCAATATGTATACAACAGCAAAAATCGCATTAATTACGCAAAACCAATCTATTTCCTGTAATAAAAAGATTTTTGCATCGTTGAAAACTCTCTTCTTGTTTTTTCTATTCAAGTCTTAAGACCAACACATAAGACAGACTTATGTGTTGTTTTGCTAAGCCAAACCCCAATTTTCAGGTTCAATTGGAGTGTTGGCACTTTCCAATAAATAAGTGGGGTTTGCTTAAATTTTGGTCATGCGACCCCAAACTATTACTGATTAACAAACGATTATTATCCGCGCTTTCATTGAAATTATTGACCCGTTGTTGGTTCCTACAGCACCAAAATCTCTCCTATTGGTGACTTTTGGCGTTATTATTGTTTTTCTTTGAAATTATTATTATTGTTTTTCTTCCAATGTCTTCCAAAGTCTGTATATGAAATAGGGAAATTTATTTTATAACCAATCTGTATTTTTATTTTTCTGATGCAAGAAAAAAGCTTCATCAAAAAAGCAAAATCAACTTACTTTGAAAACTACTGAATCAGACGAAGAGTAAAAATAACCCTTTATTAATTCAAACTAGTTAACAGAAAGGTACGGATTTCGTGCGTTACATAAACACCGTCAACTTTCGGTGGAAAGTAAAACGTAGAATATAATACAAGTCAAAGCTAAAATAAATAGTGCGAGATCGCTAACCGGCGTGCTACTAATCTGATAAGGACAAGAAGTTTACTAACGTGACCGCGAAATAACAACGAAACATGTGCTTGGCTAGCGAAACACGCTCTGAATAAACTGAGATATTCACACGTTTAAATAAGCATTTCACTTAACTTTAAATTTACATCCTGGCGAGAGAATGTGAGGGGAAGTTGAGAAGTCTAGAACAGGTATCAAACTTAAAATAAATTTGTTATTCAAAATAAGGAAAACCCAACAAATAATGGCCTTGAAAAGCAAATGAAATTTTTTTTTGCCATTTCTAGCTGTTCTGTATTTGTGCATGAGCCACCATACAGTGCCAGTACCCTCTGAGACATTAAAGAGCCATTCACACTGGGGTTTATCTGACCTAACGGAGTTATTTCCATGTGTCGACTGGCTCCGCAATGCGTGCAGTTCAAATTTTTCTAGTCGCTGAGCTATGAGGGAAAACTGGTTTTGGAGATGGGTCGATTATGTTAGATGTCTCCGTTAGCTCACATAAACCCCAGTGTAAAAGGCCATTTAGGATTGTACCCGCTCTGTTTGGGAAGAGAGACATTTCGTAATTAGACACCTTTGTTTTGTTCGATTACTTAATTTATAAAGTAATAATATTTTTGAACTGTAGAAAGAAATAAAAGGAAATGGCTAATGGAACCGCAATGTAATAATGTATAAAAATATTTTTGCGTCTAAATATGTTTTAATTCGCATTGTGGCATAAACCTGTGATGTCCAAGACCATGAAAACTCGTTGTGTGCGGGTTGGTTTCGGTTTGGTTTGGTTTATTTGATTAAGGCAAAGCCCTCGAGAGCTATCTGCCTAAGGGCAGGGATGCCATTGTGGAAGACTTTCTAAGGGAAACTGGCTCGTATACATGTTGTACATATGGAAAACCACGAAAGTTCCCATGCAGCCAGCCTCGTTCTTCTGGATTAGAACGCCAACCCGATCTACCAGTTATCAGCGACTTTACCTCTCTGCCGATGGAAATCTAATGTATGCGGGAATTTAACGTATCGAAAACTGAATAATCGATGATTTGCTTTAGTAATGTTTCGCCTTATTAACATTTTAAATGAGGAAGAAACCAAACCTGTTGTCTAGTTGGCCCCGTTCTTGAAAAGATCCCAGCAGTGAAAAAAGAAGGGTACTGAAATTGGAAATTAAATGTTTTTAATCTGCACATCAAATTAGTTTGAATCAATTTATCAAATAATTGCAATCATTCAAACGATGTTTTAAAAAAAAAAACCTATGATAACATACAAATTTGTAATTTATTATACATTAAGAACTTGAAATACTTACTTTCACCAAATTTAAATTACTGAGTTCAGTAAGTAAAAAATATGCATATGCAGGAAATGGGCATGTAGAAATACATATTGTTACGAAATGTACAGGCGCGGTGAGATGGCTTCCGCGCAAAGCAGTTTTAGGGTTGCCATAAAAAAGCAAGGAGGGCAAAGTCGCCACATTTGGCGAGAAATCGCCCATTTGGCGACAAAATTGGCGATATACCATGGACGGTTGGAGAACCTTTTGGAACGAATTTTTCCGGTTCACTTCAGAATGTTCCCGAACACAAGCCGAGAACTATATAAACCCTGCTGGTCCGCAGTCAGTCAGTGAGTGTGTGTTCCTCATCGAGAGTGTGTCTCGTCTAGCGAGTCAATCCCTGCGGAGTCGATCGAGTTGACAGCTGGGCAGCGAGTGCCGAGTGGGTCGTCGAGTTCACCGAAGGAGTCTCGTAGTGTATCCCGGTTAGTGCATCGTCGAGAGAGCGTGTTGAGCCAACACCTCCCAGAACTAACTCAGTTCTAGGAGGTGTTGGTTGAGCTCCGGGAACGACTGAACCGAAGAAGTCGGGAGCTGTGCTCGTGTGTCGTCGAGTGCATCGCGAGTTGTAGCGTGGAGTACCTGGAGTTCCGAAAACGACCAATCAGAGTCGGGTGCTTTGCAGGAAGCTTGTCTCCACCGTTATTGCCTAACAGTGTGAAGGCTGTGTCGCTCATTGTTCCACCGTGTTTATAGTAGATCTTCGACGACTGTAAAAGTGTTTTGGAGCTGCCCTGATTAATATTGATAAATAAAGTGTGTTTCGATACTTCATCAAGTGTCGTCGTTATTCACTCCAAATCTACGATCTCCGTACGAACGTGAACGAAGAAAATAACGTAACACCTGGTGTCAGAAGAAACGAAAAACGTAACAATTTGGTGTCAGAAGTGAACTGGGTGTGCGTCTCATAGTGCAGATTTTGTAGACAAGGACTTGATTCTAAACCTGGACACTTCTGCTTGTAAAGGATCGGATTCTATTCATGACCCTGGTGCAAACATCAGAACTGACTTTGAGGAAATAGAGGTAAATAAGCATGTACCAACTGCTAAAATTACTGAGAAGAACTGTACACACTATGCGAATAAACTACAGAGTGATGAACAAACTGTTTCGGATTTTCCTGTGGATGAAAAGCCTGAAAGAAATGAATCTTCAGACTGTGATATGCAAAACATAAATGTGAACTGCAGTGGAAAAGTATTTGACCCGGGTATGACTTAATGAAAAGACTGAGATTGAAATTCATTATGAACTTTAATTTGTATAATTTAAAACTGTTATGTGTTTAATTTGTGTATATAACTAGTATATAGTGTAAATAATGTTTCTTTGTTTATGGTATCGGTATGTTTAAAAAAAATTGTGTGTATCGAATTAGGCTTCTGACCAAGGGATGTACTGTCCGGGACGTGAAGTCATTGAGAGGGGGCAGTGTTACGAAATGTACAGGCGTGGTAAGATGGCTTCCCCGCAAAGCAATTTTAGGGTTGGCATAAAACGGCAAGGGAATGCAGTGTTGCCACATTTGGCGAGAAATCGCCCATTTGACGACAAAATTAACGATATTCCATGAACGGTTGGAGAAACTTCTGGAAAGAATTCTTACCGGTTTAGCCCAGAAAGTTCTCGAACGCCAGTCAAAAGCTATATAAACCCTGCTGGTATGCGGAGAGTCGGTTGGTATCGAGAGTGTGTCTCGTCTAGAGAGGTCAATCCCTGCAGAGTCGATCGAGTTGACAGCCGGGCAACGAGTGCCGAGTAGGTCGTCGAGTTCACCGAAGGAGTCTCGTAGTCCATCGCGATTAGTGCATCGTCGAGAGAGCGTGTTGAGCTCCGGGAACGACTGAACCGAAGAAGTCAAGAGCTGTGCTCTGTGTGTCGTCGAGTGCATCGCAAGTTGTAGCGTGGAGAGTCTCGAGAGTACGTGGAGTTCCAAGAACGACCAAGCAGAGTCGGGAGCTGTACTCCGGAAAGCAGAGTCGGGTGCTTTGCAGGAAGCTGTCTCCACCGTTATTGCCTGACAGTGTGAAGCTGATTGTTCCAGCGTGTTATAGTAGATTTTCGACTACTGTAAAAATGTTATTGGAGCTGTCCTGATTAATATTAGCTAAATAAAGTGTGTTTCGATACTTCATCAAGTGTCGTCGTTATTCCCTCCAAATCTACGAAACCCGTACGAACGTGAAGGAAGAAAATAATGCAACAACTGGTGTCAGAAGAAAGAGAAAAACGTAACAATATATATACAATACATACACAATACAAAAATGGTAGATTTAAAATGCTAAATGACACTGTTGTATAAGGATCTGTTACTTCTTAGTTATGAAATATGCACTTGAAATTACAGTTTATGAATGTTTTCTTGCAAACCCATTTTAATGAAAATTCTAAAGAGCTTTTTATGTGAAATTTGTTCGTATATAAAATGGCTTCGTAATTATAGTTCGATGTGCTGATGGCTTTCTTCAAGAAAGGAAATTATATTATCTTTATATAAAACGTCAACATGTGTTCTTCCGAAAATAAAAGCCATGTGATAAATTATCCTAATACATACGTTATGGCCAAAACCCAAAGTGTGGCTACCTCGCGATTTGGGTAGGCGGATCTGATGAAGGTTCGAAGTATGCAACAGTTCATAACTAGGTTTGTCCGGTCACTTCTATAAGAAAAATTGTTCGCAGTTATGTAAGGTTTTTTTTCTATGTTGATTCTTTCTTGGATTCTTGGTTTCGTTTAATTCCACCAAAATATGTAAATGAAGTGAATTTTAATCAGAAGTGAGAATTGAATTTAGGAAAGAATTTGGAAAGACCAGTATTGAATTTATGAATATGAGTATTGAAACACTGAAAACTCTTCAACTGCTATTCGCCTTTAACGCTGTTATTAGCGACTAGTGTATTTGTTTTTGATTGAAAATCAGGTTAATATTCGTGAAATAACGATGCCAGACTATAAATTTAAACTTGTAAATAAATTGAAATTATTTTTGTTTTCTCAACGATCAGAAAGCAAAAATTTTTTTTCTGCTATTTAATGGCGCAACATTTAAAAGCTAAGCTTTTATTGTTAGCACCAACCTTAGGTATACTTGGTATTCTCTTTGACAATTTCTCTGGTTTACAAAAATAAAACGAACTAGAATAAATAATAATTATTAATGAGAAAAATGAATAAGGAAAGAAAAGTGGGCTTCTTAAAACAGTAAAATAGAAATTGAATTGAAACTGAGAATAAAATTTAAGCTTATAATTGATGAACACAGAACAACTTTATTTTCAATTGACGAATGTCTCTTTCAAGCTATTAAGGAGTATAATTGAGATATGATTACCTTCGCTTTTCTTTTAAACGTACCCAATATGAAGATGCCGGATTAATTTTGAATGTAAGATAACTCTCAGCTATTTATATGAGTTATGTCACGAGATGTAACAATTAAAAACTTCAAATTTAAGGTATGGCACAGAATGAGAATCTTGAAAAGATTATGATATTAATTTTGTTTTTCTAATCCAGTGGTCTCAGATAGGTTGCCCCTGAAGCAATTTTATCCGGCCAGCGAATACATACCTGTTATATATTTCTTACAAATATTTTAAGGTTTCAGTTATTTAAAGTCCGAATTTACATGATTTTCACTACCATTAAAAACGAATATGAAAAAGCACCAGAAAGTCCATAAATGGAGCTAATTAATTTACAGTGTGATATAAAGCTTATTCAAAGATCTAAAGATAAAGATTTGATTAATTTTTATTTCTTGATCTCAAAAATACCGTACTCAGTTTGCAAATTTTTGCACTAAAGAATAATCGCTTTGTCTGGAAGTACATTTATATGTGAAGAAACTTTTTTTTTCCACAGTTGAGAATTAATAAGAAAAGAACTCTGTTGATTGACCAGCATCTAAATTCCGCAAAAAAGATAATTTATAATAATGTTTGACCAAGTTACGGATTTTATCAGAAGCGAAACGCCATCAAGTGCTAAGCTGTAGTAAGAAATAAAGAAATCTGTGACTATTTAAGTATAAATGTATTTATTTTTATTTTTGGGTCGACGAAAAATTTAATAAATAAGAAAGAGAGACTAGGTTGTCATAACGTATTCTCAAGTTTTGAAAAACTTTCTTTTAAAACTTAGAAAGTAAGAGTAATTGTTTGTTTTTAGTTTAACTTAAAGCAACATATTTATGATTAAACTAACATGATAGAATTATTTAAAATAAATATCCGTTTGAAAATTTAATATTTAGTTATCAATACATTTGAATTACAAAGTAGAGTGAACAAAAATGTCTTACAAGTGCCCAACTTCATATTTCAGATAAAAAGAAAATATAAATTTGAAGTTTGTTCTTTGCAATATTGTTATTGTTGGTTATGTATAGTTTGAAAAGTTTGCATTAATAAGCGAACTTAAATTTGTTTTAAAATATTTCTTATTTCCTTAATAAAAATATTTTCATTTTGTTAAAAAAAATTCTGACAGTTGCCAGTTGTTTTTAGACCATGCCTTTGGCCCGTATGCATACTATGTTCTAATCAGCATTCAAATGGTATATACTGAAGTGCTTTGCATGCAAATTTTATCCTTACATTACTTCATATAGCCATGCATCTGCACCTACTTCATAGATATTACGCCAATGTTTTAGTCTGAATACGCTTAAATGTTGTATTTGCAGTATTACTTGCTTTTCATTAAATGTGTAGAATAATCATTGAACGCTATTTTTACACTGCAACTATATGTTTGCGCATATAGCTTCTGTGATGTAAAATCGGTAATTGTGCATTAGTGACTTTCTGAATGTTTGTTCATGAAGATTCATATAAAGGTTGCAAATCATTTTTATTCGATCAGTAATGTCCACTTTACTAGAAACAGACCACGTGAAGTTATGCACTATTCATTTCTAAAAGAACTGCATATATTCTTCTAAGTAAAAAACATTCAGTTTTTCTTACAATGAGTTTATCCTTCTTTTCATTTCTTCCTTTGTCCTTAACTTTTTCATGTGTTTAATTATATTTTCTTAAAGCCTTCCGTATTCATTAAAATCTTCAGGTTTCAGTTCATGATTTTTATTCAAGGCCTCCCTTTTCCTTGCATTGACCCCTTTTAAAGGAATGCTTTCTTCATGGAACCCCTTATATTTTTTTCTTTATAATATACAACATAATTATAATACTAATAACTGCACATAAATAACATAAAGATAACAATTTGATTAAACATATGACAAATGTTTTGAAAAATGGTTTATTAAATTTATGTGTAAGTAATTTTTGTATTAATAATTCTTTTAATTTTACAAATATGAACAGGTTTTCAGAAATAAAATCCCGCATTCTAATTGCACAAAAGCTTGAAGTTAAGTAATGTGTTGGCTGCACTCGAGATATTAATGCAATTTTGTTTAATATTTAGCATAAGGCTATTTAATTTAATTTTTAAAACACCTATCTCAAAATTATTCAACTTATTTCTTGTTTCTCATTTAGTTTATATTATTGATTAAAAAATATATTAAAAAAATTCAGTACATTTTTCTCCAAATATTTATTTTGTATGATATCTTCCTGAGTACAAGATACAGTTTTACATAAATATACAATTAATTATCAATTTTATTAATAAATCGTTTTGCAATCAATGCAATTTTGATTGTGTCAATCATTTGCCGTGTATTATACCACTACTAACCCACAGTCGACCCCTTGGTCATCACTGAATCGCTTTAAAATTTCATCGACTCTCAGACGATCATTACCATCGCCGCTGAGAACCCCTACGTTAAATTGTATTGTAAGATATTTTCTATAAATTGTGTTATATAATAATTTTTTTAGAGATTCGCACTTAGAGAGAAAGAAACAAGTAATTAATTCGACTTACTTTGAAAAGCAGATATTTTCCAAGTTTAACAAAAGACATCAACAAACAAATTATCGTAAGATATATAAGGAATAAACCATATTGTAAAGATGGCATCTTCATATAGCCATGCATCTGCACCTAAAAAATAGCCGAAACTTCAAATGAATGGCAAAAATTAAGTACGTAATAAATGGTACAAACAAGAAAATTGAATGAAATTCCAAGAAAAGCACTACCTTCTTTTTCATAAAAAATAGCTATAAAAAGCTGCGTTTCTATGAATAATTTTATAATTAAAAACAAAATATATTTGTTAATTTATTTAATTGTATAATTTAAAATTGTATAATTTCTAGATATAGGGTGTTCTGTTTGAGATCATCGCAATGAAGTTAATCACAGGAATATTTTTAACCAATCACCTACCAATCTGCCAATAAACTAAAAATCACCGTACAAGCGTTCTTGTGTTTTGTACGACAGTTTTCGTTTAATATTGCTGAGTGGTTAAAACGGAGATTGCTGATGACTGGAATCGCTACAAAACCCTTCAGATAGCTTAAGAGTCGTAAGCAAATTATTCTTTAAAGCATCTCCCCCAAATCATAATTTTTAGTTAACGTAAACAGATGATTCAGGTGAATTATAGGATCATTTGCAGGGCATCTAAAGTATAGGACATTTTTTCTTCTATTTCTGTGCGTCTAAATGATAGTTATGGTTTGAGCAGCTCTGAGAGTTTCCTAAAAGCAATACAAAAATTGATTTTTCGCATTGACTCAGCTTGCATTTCATGAAACATTTTTCTCCAACATGAGATGCTGTTTCATAAAAACTTATTAGCAACAGAAGTATTTTCGAAATTGCAAGTCTTGCTATACCCTGCCACTGTTTTATAAATTAAGTTCGTTTTTACTGTAAAATAACGAAAAACGTAAAGGTAATAATTCCCCGAATTTTGAAATCACATTAAGAAAGTCCCACTTAATACCAAAATCATTTAGAGTTTCATTAATAGAGTCCATCTTTTCAACAGGAAATTCAGTATTAGACTGACTTATTCGAAAGCAAAATCCGGTAGCTTAGTTAATTAAATTGAAAAATTGCAATAATTAGCCGTTTGTACGTTAAATATATAAAATTTCAAAAATAAATGATATAGTATTATAAATAAGAAAAATTTACGAGACGGAGAGTTTTAACAGCAAACAAAATCAAATGAATTACTGAAATATTTGAAATTACGCTTAAAGCCCATTGAAAGCTGTTTCGATCTCCCCTATATATATATATATATATATATATATATAAACTAAATATCATATCATTCATGGAACACTTTGTAACTTTCTAAGTACAAAACTTAGACTTCTTTCTACTTCTTCTTCTTTGGAACTTCTTAACTAATTAGTAATTGTTTATTGCCAAACCTATAGGCAGATATTAAGAAGTCATCTTTAATGGTTGGACAGTTATCGCTTCTGTTCACACTTAACTAAAATTACACAAGACTAAAAATAAAATCTAATACAACCTTTATTAGCCACTACTTGCGATAATACGACTAAATGTAGCTACAAAACAAATGCTACAACTTCTTGTTCGACAATGAACTACAGCTACTAGTCGCTAAGTTAACATTATGACCTGATTAATTAACAAAAGCCTATCTAGAGTTATAATACTACTTTTCAGATAGGATGGAAAACACTATTGTTAACTTTCTAACTAGGGTCCACCAGCGGCCGAGCGGTAAAAGCCGCTGAACACTGGTACTTCCACCTGGGGCTCGAGTCCCGGCAGACCGGCTGGCTGCAGGAGTATTTTTGTGGTTTGGTACGAGGAAGTTTTCTTTAAAACGACCTTCAAGGGGCATTCCTCCCTTTCCCTGTATTGCCTAAGGAATTTTTTTAAATTTATGCTGCGACTTTGCGATACTTAAGTTTTATTAATATTTGGACTTGAGTTAAATTTTATCTTGACCTTCTTGATTTAAGTCACAACAGTCGCTCAGACAAGAATGTTACGCAAATTTAGTTGGGCGAAGTTACGCATGAGGTATAGTTTCATTAATGTTTGAACGTAAAGACTAGCGGAGATTTCCGTCACATCGCCCGCTGTGCTGTACTGGCTCACTTACTCTTTCCTGCTGTATTTGCGAACGGATAAAGTTAGTTAATCACTATGCCATGATTAGTGTTTCGCGATTTCATAGATAGTGCGGTTTACCACATATTTAGTTTTATGCTTAAACTTGGTCGACAGTAATTTGAAATTTATGGACCAGGGCAAGTCGTTTCATCTCCTAATTTTCTGCAAACAGGAAGTCAATTATTTTACTCTGAGTTAAAATTTTAATTGTTAATCTTTATTTTATTATTAATTGGCCTGTATACGTGTTGATAGTTAAATATTTAAAGCACCAACACACTGAGCATTTTTTTTCATATTGCAGACTTTATAACATCTTCAAATCACTCGTTTGAATGTCTCTACAGATACGCCTCTTTTATTAACGATTACTCTCTTTTTTCTGGAATTAATTGATCAAGATAATGATTTTCTTAGGCTTATAAGTATTTCAGATGAATCAATGATTCATATTTCAAAGAAAATGAACATATGGTGCCCGAATTTGGGGCTGAGAGAAGCCATACACTGCTTTACGGACTGAACGCTACCTAAACCCCAGTGTAGTAAATACACCATCTTGTTAGAGGTTTATCTACTGTTGGAGCTCTTATAGCTATGGGTAATTTAAGAGAAATTTAGAGAAAGCTCCGAAGTCAAGATTTTATAAAGGTTAGTATAGAATAAAGTTATTGAGCCTTTCCTTTTATAGAACCCACTGTTTCATCGAATGTTTTACAGGACACGATAGAGTTTTATATTTCACCAGACTTTTAATAGATTACCAGTAGAAAAGTTCAGGACAAAATAATTCATCTTCAATTTTTAACATTTTGAAATTGTTGGGTAGCAAACAGATTGCCGGACATCATCCTCTTGACGTTTTATAGGTTATATTATATCTGTATGTATATCTGACTTAAAGTTTTAATATCACTGTATGATATTAAAACTTTAAGGAAAGAATAATTCAAGCTTTAGTAATTGCCACTTATGATATTCTAGTGAAAGAGGGAGAAACTGAATATATATTAGATGTTCTTCATAAACTGGCGACGAAGCTATGAGTTAGAAAAATATCTAATCCATATCAAATTTCCCTTCAATTAATGGATCTTCATTAGGTAATAGAGTGCAATGAAAAGCATGAATACTTTTGAAATTCGGTTCCGACCTCCTTCTTCCAGCATTCATTAACAAAATAAAAGAGTTTAAAATGTGAAAAAAAAATGCATTGACGGCAAAGTTTGAGAAGGAGCATTGAAAAATAACGGAGACCATATTGAATTAAGCTGATATTTAGGGAGAGGAAAATTTCGGATTCAGAATTATAAAACAAATTTATTTAACTTATATGTGGAAACTTACGAATTACAATTTTCGGACTCGACTCCATACATCGTCTTAGATTTCAAGTGAAATAAATGTGATCTAAAAAAAAGATGCTTAAATTATTTTTTTTCTCGTAACACCTACAGCTCGTGTATGAAAAAAAAATCACCGCTGTTTGCGGGATCTCACAGAATACATACGTCAAATTAAAAACTTAAATAGTTTGTGGAGTTTCCCTTATTTTGCATAACAAATTATTTTAAATTTGATACCTTTCCTGAACTCCTCTCCGCATTTCCTCGTCAGGATGTAAATTTAAGGTTAAGTAAAGTGTGTATTTAAATGGATGAATCACTGAGTTTATTCAGTAGTGCCCGCATCGAGATAGCCGTAAAACAACATACATTTGACGTATAGAATAGCGGAACCTGGAGTTTATTCAGGCTAGTACGCCCCTAAGCCATTTCAGAAAATCGTCGCTTCTGTTAGGTTTTGTTGAGTCAACCCTATGCTAGACGTAACTTGACGTGCTAATTCAGCAGTATTCTATTTTAGATTTGAATTGATTTATACTATACGTTTAAATTCCACCGCAAGTGGTCGGTGTTATTGTAAAGCAGGATTTCCGTGCCTTTCTGTTCTGAGTTGACACAGCAAACTTACACAGCAAAGTCCTACAATACACATTTACTCAGGCTTCTAAATACGTGAGTAAGTTCGCAAAATGCTAATGCCAATTTAGGTAACTCTTAAGATATGGACGAAAAATAGTGCGAAAGTTAGCAGTCATTGCCGACAACTTACTCCGAACTTCAAAAACTTTGCTGACATATGCATTAACTAATTTGCATAATAGTGGTAGCCCGAAGAAAGTAGGTTAGGTTAAGTTATTTGAATACGGTAAAGCTAAGAGGGCTTATTTGCTTAAGAAAACGGATGATTTCGCGGAGAGCTTAAGGAAAACTGGCTCGTATTCGCGCTACACATTGGATAAGCTATAAAAGGCAACCATGCAGCCAGCCCGTTTGATTGGAATCAAAACCCAAGCTAGATCGAACTACCAGTATTCAGCGATCTTAACCATTCGGCCGCCGGTGAGACCTCCGACAGTAAGGTGACAATAAAGATAAAAATAATAATTTTAGCTGAAGGCATTTTTATTATTAATTTGTTCGCTTGTTGCTCTGTAATTCTGTGCTGAAACACAGTAGTGTCATTAACGGGTAAATCCTACATTAGTTCCATTTTCAAGGAAAGCTGCTTGTGCTGTGAATCTTCTAAGTCATAAAAAATATAAAGTTTGTTAAATAATGAATATAAATGTAAATGAACACTGGTAGTTCGGTCTGAGGTTCGAATCCCGCGAACGGGCTGGCTGCATGGGCGTTTTCGTGGTTTTCCCCATGTGTAACGTGTATACGAGCCAGTTTCCCTTAGAAAGTCCTCCACGAAAGGCATCCCTCCCTTTAGGCAGATAGCCCTCGTGTGCTTTGCCATAATTAAATACACCACACCAAAAGATTTATAAAATATTAGATGCAGAAGGAAAAATATTTCCAGAAAATTTTATGAACACCCAGTTCATCCGTATCTTAAAGCACTGAAATTAAAATAAGTACATTAAAATAACCTTTGAAAAATATTTATATAAAATAAATCTTAAGATGAAAATATGGATATGGATATAAAAATGGTATGATTTCAACCAAGTTTTATGTAACATGAAATAAATGATACTTTAAGATGTCCATAATTTTGCTTACTGGCCTTTTCTTGAAATAATCCAAATTTAATTTGTTACTTATTCTTATAATCCGCTCATCCGGGCTGAAGTACCATACGCACCAGCTTTTAACAATATTACTATAAAACACAGGACCCCTAAAAGATTCGAAATTACACAAATAATTATTTACAAACAAGAATATAATTAACAGTAGACACAGATTCTTAAAGTAACATAGATTACAGCAATATAAGCAAAAATATTGGCAGAAAAATTGTTTATTATGTATGAAATATATAATGGCTTCTTAGCATCCGTCATTAATCCGTTCCAAAAACATGCCAGTCTAAACGTATACCAAACGAATTTTTTCACTAAGAAATAAATAAAAAATAATCTTGTTGTTATTACTATAACATTGTTTAACACTAAAATACAAATGTAATAGCTGAAATATTGTACATAAATATCTTTTGTTTATGTAAAGTACCGAAAAACATTTCTACCGTATCATACAAATAAAAAAAAATATAAATATTGTTGCGTGCGTACGGGTTCGTTATGAAATGAATGCACAAGTCCGATGAAAAATGAACAAAAATTTATTATTATCACAACAAAAATGCTTAAATTTTCTCAAATTATCATGCAGTATTACAATATCTCACAGTAGTTATCTTTTAACTACTCAAATGTCCAATAGAACGTAATTCAAAACAGCTAAAGAACGCTAATCCGCGAATTCTACAATCAACAAGAGCAGTTCTCTAAACAACAACAAGCTAAGCAGCAACTACAAACTGAGATGTTTTCCTCCTTTTTTAGACATCCTTTTTTAGACTTTTTTAGACAAGATTTTAAAATCACGCGCTAGAATTTTCCAGTACTTTCTCGAAATCAAAAAGAGATATTTATTTATTTAACGCACGCGCTCTTGTATTTTTAATTTTTCCGGCTTAGCTTTCTTTTAATATTCGTCACGCGCTGCACAGCGCAAGAAATAAAACCATTTAATTTATAATTGAACTAACATTAGCTTTTTAAATACCAAATTCGTAACACTGCCCCCTTCCCAAGGACTGCACGTCCCGGGCAGTACAATCCCTGGACAGGAAAGCTAAACTTACAACTGTGGCATAAATGCATTAATAAGCATTACATTAAAATAGTAAACAACATGAACAATAAATGCAATACATAAAACAAATCAAATGCTATCAAATACTAACTAAAAAATACTAAATACAAAACAAATACTAAATACAAATCAAATACTAAATAAAATCAAATACTAAAATACACATTTATAAACAAAAAGGACCATGGTCTGATACTATTTACAATTATTTACATTACGTACTATGGCCATAGTAATGAGCTAACCTGTCGTAATGAACGACTTTAGGTTTAGAGTTCGAAGACTTACGAATCCGAACCACGACGTCATTCAGCCTTTTTAAGACTGTATGCACGGGCCATCCCAAGGTGACTGTAATTTCGGACAAAGTCCTTTTCCGTCGAGTCGGATTCCACACCCACACCTTGTCTCCTTCGTGGAATCTGATGTTCCTAGTAGCTCTCGCGTATCGTAGCGGGTCTTCACTTTCTCCGTCGCCAAGTTGACTCGCTCTCGTGCAAAGTTGTGCATCACTTCAAACCGGGCCTGGAGATCTTGAATATATTCCTCAGACGATGAAGGAGCATCCGGAGGGCGGCCAAACAATAGATCACAAGGCAGACGAAGGTCACGACCGAAGAGCATCTGTGATGGAGAATAGCCGGTAGTCTCGTGGACAGCACTGCGGTAAGCCAGTAAAAAGAGTGGTAATTTCTTGTCCCAGTCCTGTTGGTTTCTGGAAACCACTAATGAGAGGTTATTAAGGATGGTTCGATTGAACCTCTCTACCATGCCGTCCGACTGGGGATGCAATGGCGTCGTTTGAGTTTTGTCAATGCCGAGTAGTTTGCATAGTTCTTTGATTACTGCCGAGGCAAAATTACTTCCCTGATCGGAATGTAACTGAAGAGGCACTCCGAACCTGGAAATCCAGTGCTGTATCATTACCTCAGTTACTGTGACAGCCTCTTGATCAGGAATAGGATAAGCTTCCGGCCACTTGGTGAAGTAATCAATGACAACGAGTATGTATTTGTTGCCATCAGCAGTTCGTGGCAGAGGTCCCAGGATGTCAAAGGCGATACGTTCAAAAGGCGCCCCTACGTTGTAACGTTGCAGCTTGCCTCGGCTGCGTCTCCTCGGTCCTTTCCGACCTGCACAGGCATCGCAAGATCGGCACCACTTTTGCACGTCATCCTTTGCATTATTCCAGTAAAAGCGCTCACGAACTCTCTGCAAGGTCTTCATTATTCCAAAGTGACCTCCAGTAGGGGTGCTATGTAACTCTTTAAGGACATCAGGAATGCGGGATCTTGGAAGTATAAGTTGCCATCGGAACGTCTTCCCATCATCCGATTCGAATTTCCGGTATAAGACGCCGTTTCGAATGTGAAGTGAATCCCAGAGTGCCCAGTATTGTTTGGTTGTAGGACTACAGATAGAAATGTCCTGCCAGGTAGGCTTTCTGTTTGATGACTCCATTAAATCAATTATGGGTTTAATGTCGCGGTCTTTCCTGACTTCATCATCACTCCACGGTTCTCGACCAGCCGATGTTGATGTTGTAATTTGTCTTGCGACTGGAGTCAGCAGCTCGTATTTCGCTTCCACCCTGGAACAATATCGGCAGCTTTCTTGGCAAGGTCTTCTAGACAGGGCGTCGGCGTTTCCGTGTGATGATCCCTTACGATGACGGATAGTGATGTCATATTCTTGGAGTCTCTGTATCCACCTGGCTATTTGACCCTCAAGATTCTTGAAATTTAAAAGCCAGGTCAATGATGCATGATCGGTGCGGAGCAGGAATTTTCTGCCGTATAGATAGTGATGGAACTGTTCTACAGCTTTGACTATGGCGAGCAACTCTTTCCTGGTGACACAATAATTCCTCTCTGGTTTAGACAGGCACTTGCTTCAGTATGCCACTACACGTTCTTGGCCGTCTATTTCTTGGGACAAAACAGCACCAACACTTTCATTACTCGCGTCGGTGTCGAGAATAAATGGTCGGTCAAGCTGAGGATACGTCAGGATTGGAGCAGATGTTAAAGCCTCCTTTAAGTTGTTAAATGCATCCCTCGCATTCTTTTTCCAGGATTTAACCGCTGATACCTTTTCAGGATCCGTGCGCACACCTCCTGCAGAGATGACATGTCCCAGGTAAGTCACTTCCTTTCGAAACAATTTGCATTTAGCGGGAGTCAGCTTCAGATTGGCCTCTTTCAGTTTCTGAAGCACCTTTCTAAGATTTTCTAGATGCTCTTCAAAACTCTTTCCGACGATGATGATATCGTCCAGGTATATCAGACAGGCTTCGTAGGAAAGGCCTTTCAAAACAGTCTCCATAAGACGTTCGAATGTTGCCGGCGCATTACACAGTCCAAACGGCATCACTTTGAACTGCCAAAGTCCTTGTCCGTAGTAAATGCTGTCTTTTCTCGGTCATCAGGATGGAGTTCCCTGCAATATGACGATAGATACAGGAGCCAACGTTACCATCATCCGAAAAGATTTGGCTCAACAACTGGGAAGCAAACTTATCTGGACGCCGCCCTGCGTTACCCTACAGACTGTGTCCGGTGAGAAGATCAACATCGATGGAAAAGTAAATGCTAACATCACGTTTGGAAGTGCCGCTTACCATCACATGGCATATGTAGCAGAGATCACTGATTCTTGCATACTCGGATTGGACTTTCTAAGGAAATACAATTTTTCCTTGGACTTTAAAAATAACGAATTGCATTCTACATCTGAGGACATAGCGTTATTTGGAGTCAATGATGAAGTTAAATCTGTCCATAAAATCATAGCACAAGACAATATTACAATACCGGCAAGAACAGAAATTTTACTTCCTGGATCCATAGCCGAAAACAGAAATTTCCGCTACGGCATCATAGAATATCCCAATAACTGTAATAGCCAAAAGGAGTACTAGTAGCCTCAACACTCGTCGACCTATCCAGAACGGTTATCCCGGTGAGAGTCGCCAATGTAACTGAGAAGGGGAGAATTATTAAGAAAGGTGAAGTGGTTGCAGCATGTACTCCAGTAACCACGTTGAAAGAAAGAGTAACATCCAAGAATCCGTGTCCTCAGAGAGAATTACATCGGAGTTATGCAGAATGCGCAATTAAACGATAAAGAGAGGAATGCTGCCGATCGCGTCATTAAAGATCTTCAAGTTGTTTTCTCCCGCTCGTCTTCTGACGTGGGTCGAATAGTTTGACACAACATAGAATAGATACCGGCGATCATCCCCCGATCAAGCAACATCCAAGACGTCTACCGTTTGCTAAACAGGAAGAGGTGCGAAACACTGTTAAAAGATATGAAAAAGCGATGTCATCGAGCCTTCAGTAAGTCCATGGGCATCTCCCATCGTCCTAGTCAGAAAGAAAGACGGCTCAACAGATTTGCGTCGACTATCGCCGGTTGAATGAGGTTACGAGAAGAAAGACAGTTACCCTCTTCCTAGAATTGATGACATTTTAGACACTCTTTCTGGAAGCAAGTGGTTTCAACACTTGATTTAAAGAGTGGGTATTGGCAGGTAGAAATCCATCCTGATGACCGAGAAAAAGACGGCATTTACTACGGGACAAGGACTTTGGCAGTTCAAAGTGATGCCGTTTGGACTGCGTAATGCGCCGGCAACATTCGAATGTCTTATGGAGACTGTTTTGGAAGGCCTTTCCTACGAAGCCTGTCTGATATACCTGGACGATATCATCATCGTCGGAAAGAGTTTTGAAGAGCTGACACCAAAAATTGTTGCGTGCGTACGGGTTCGTTACGAAATGAATGCACAAGTCCGATGAAAAATGAACAAAAATTTATTATTATCACAACAAAAATGCTTAAATTTTCTCAAATTATCATGCAGTATTACAATATCTCACATATCTCACAGTAGTTATCTTTTAACTACTCAAATGTCCAATAGAACGTAATTCAAAACAGCTAAAGAACGCTAATCCGCGAATTCGCTACAATCAACAAGAGCAGTTCTCTAAAGAACAACAAACTAAGC